TAAAAAGAACAGCCTTCTTTTAAAGTAAGCTTCTTGTTCTTCCCCCTACCAAAAGGGACAAATAATTACATCTCAATTTTCTCTTAAACAGAATATGCTAAATTGTATTAACCCTCTATCTGACCCTAGTTCCTGACTCAATTTGTTGGCCAGAGTTAATAAATGATTTTTTTTTTTTAATTCTAAACTCTACAAGTAAATGTATTACAAAATGAACCAAATCCCATCATCAATGAGAAATGACCAAATATAGACTAAAGTCAGCCTTTGCCCTAAATCTGAGGTAATCGTTCTTTACAAAATCAATTTTCAAAGTGTACCTTTCCCTTCCCCTAGTGACCCTCTGCTGGAAGCTTTAACAATTAAGAGAATCAAAATAGTGAAACAACAGTATACATACCAGCAACTATTAATGTTGGAATAATGTTCGGTGAAATTGAGCTTAAAATAAAGGTAAACGGTAATACATTTTTCAATTCATTTTTCAAATGCACATAAAACAGAAGGGAAAAAATGAAAAAGACAAGGGCTAAGACAAGTTCCGCTTCAGGCGTTTTCCCAAGCACATCCAGATCACACACCAGATGCACCAGACAGCTGGGAATGGCAAACACGAAAAAGGGGAAGAGAGGGGTAAGAGATAGTAAATATTACAACCCAGTAGGTAAGAAATCAATTCTTCTTTCTAGAATTTTCTGAGCATGCCAACCATAAAATGTATTCATTTATATTTCTGTATCAAAACTTGACTCACAGATAAACAAGGAAGGAACCAATATTTCCATAAATGGTCCTAGGAAAATCTGCTAGCAATTAAAAAGGAAAAAGACCCAGCAGCAGCTCTAGAAGACAATTCAGGTGAATATTTACTTGATCTTTGTGGAAGAACTTCTTAAAGATGCACACAATGGAAAATATCAACAAATTTGCAACATAAGACAGTGCACGCACATACACAAAAAAACCCAAAATAAATTAAGAGCAAAAGACTTACGAAAGAAAGCACGTTCCACTAATATGGCTGGCAAAGACATCTTAATAACACAGAACATATGCAAACAGATTCTTAAATAAATTAAAGATTGTATTTGAAATTACAAACTATAATAACTTTTATGGCAATATGAATCCAAAAGTTAAAAAATGTTCATACTCTGAATAATTCCACTTTTAAGGTTCTATTAGAAAAAAAAATCTAAGATGTACAAAGATGGTTATCACAGTTTTATAATAGCAAAAACCTGGAACACAGGGAGTCCTAGTCAAGACAGTGGGGTAAAATTACATACACACACACACACACACACACACACACACACACACAAAACTGGAATAATCTAAATGTCTGGCTAAAAAGGAATGTTTAAATTGTGATACATCCTATGAGGTATTATGAGGCCAAATGTTTCATTTTTTTCCATGACATGGAGAAATGATCACAATACAATATTAAAGTATACTAAATAGGATATAAAATAGGATAGAGTATGCACATAAGTTTTTAAAAGCACAGAAAAACACACACCCGAAAAGTTGAAAGAAAATATACCAAAATTTTAACATCAGTTATCTCTTGGTGACACGATTTTACTTTGTACATTTTATTTTTTAAATACCATATAATCATCATATATTAACTCCTATAATCAGAAAAAAATGTGGATGCAGAAAAACTAACATATTTTTCAACAGATAAATGGCAAAAAGTAAATAAACTTTAAGAGGCCCTGATCGGGTAGCTCAATTGGTTAGTGTCGTCCCAGTACACTAAGGTTGCAGATTCCATCCCCAGTCAAGGGATGCAACCAATGAATGCAGAAATAAGTGGAACAGCAAATCAATGTTTCTCTCTGTTTCTCTCTCTCCCCCTCCCTTCCTCCCTCCCTCCCCCTTTCTATCTCTTTGTAAAAATCGATAAATACAAATTAAAAAGAAAAACTTTTAAGAGGTGACAGGGACATGGTTACAGTTTAAGAGATTTAAGAGATATCAATCAAATGTCACGTATAGACCTAGTTTGAAACCTGATTCAAATAAACCTAGTAAAAGGACATCTATGGAACAATCAAGAACTTTGAACACTGGATTGACATTTAGCAATGACTAATTTTTTAAAACAACTACAATGTCAAATATCACATCTAAAGAATCCTTAACTTTGAAAGATTCCACTAAGTATTTTCAGTTAAAGAGGTATAATGCCTGGGATCTAGTTGAAAATAATCCTGCAAAAGGAGAAGATACAGACAAAATAAAACAGCCAATAGTTGAGTAACTGTTGAAGCCAATTGATGGCTACGTAACGATTCATTATAATATTCTACTTTTTAGTATAAAAAATTTCAAACATTCCTGCTTTTTTAAAAATACATTTTTATGAAAAGAAAAAAAACTCCTCTGCTGTCCATCCCCCCATGAAAACAAAGGGCTCTTCTTGAGAAAGCGGGGAAAACTAAGGCTGACTCAAGGTCAGAGGATGAAAACTGTCTCTTCACTATGATTTTAAGAAGGTGATTTATGATGAAATCACCTTTTCAAATAGCCAGCCAAATCTTTACAGTAATCAAGAATATAAAAATTCTTTCCATTTAGAAAATAAAAATAAAAACCCACATCAAGAGCAAAATACAAGTAACAATTTAGAATGCATTCAATTTGTTTTTACAAGACAGAAAATAGAGATGCTGGCCAATGAAACGCGGAACTCAGAAGACGCATTTATCAAAAAGCATCAATTCTACCGATTAGAGCTCCAAAGTTATAAAACCAAGGAAGTGAACCATATGGCAGAAAATGCTGGAACTGCCCCCAGGACATTTAGGAGCCTACACTTGAGTTTGCTCTCCATATTTAACCTTACTCCCAATTATATCACAGAGGTAATTACCTCTAAAAATAATATTTTTCTAGAAATAGCTTTCTGACCCCAAGTTTTACCCAATAGCCAATTAAAAAACGGATCAACCAAATAAGCAGAAATATACCAAAACTCTGGCTACCTTTCATATTAAACAGGGAAAACAAAATATTTGTCTATTAATTCCAGTATTATCACATTATACTATATACAACAGTATACAGTTGGGATTACTTTTATCAGATGACCCAGCATCTCAATGTAATAAGGTGCTCAAGCCCACTCATATACAAGATTTTGCAACATATTCATCTGCTTTATTCTTTTATCAGAAATGGGTCTCAATCAAACATATCCCATAACTTAAAATAGTTTACATTTGCCTGCAGCTTTACTAACCACTTTCACATCCTAATAACCACCCTTCTGACAAAGTCAAAGCAGAAAAATTATCCCGGTTTTAAAATGAGGAAAATAGGGCCCTTGCCAGGTAGGTCAGTTGGTTAGAGCATCATCCTGATACACTAAGGTGCCAGGTTCAATCCCTGGCCAGGGCACATACAAGAAGCAACCAATGAATGCATAAGTAAGTGGAGCAATAAATCGATGTTCCTCTCTTTCTCTCTCCCTTCCTCTCTCTAAAATCAATAAATAAAAAATTAAAAAACAAATAAATAAAACAGGTTCAAAGAGTTAGCAATTTGACCATGACGACACATCTGGTATTAGACAAACCTTGGACAGGAAGTCACAATGTAAAGTCCTAACCAAGGCTCATTCCACATGTCAGATATGACCAACCATGCTAGTTACATCTGTTTTACCCTTATAAAGACAACTTTAGAGGAGTACAGAAATTAGAAAACTATCAATGACTTCCTACTACTTCTTACTAATGACATACTTTTCTGTTAAACTACATTTGCATCACTGATGGGAAGTGGGCAAGAAAAGGATACAGACTCAAATTCAAGTCAGTCAATCATTATTTGTTAAAAACCATACTAAAGCTGCATGTGGGAAAAGTTAAAGACATTTAAAATTTTTTAACTTTGAAATAAACCCCATTATATACCCTAAATATCACAATTCTCTGTGCTTAAGAATTCTCTGAATTCTATCATGACATTTTTTAAATATTCAAATTAATAACCAAGCAATTATAGTTAGAAACTTCTTATAATATTACCTATACTGGTCCAATAAGGTGACCGTACATTGTTCCATCTAGAAGTAGCTATTAATAAGAGTAAAATATAACAAAAACCACTCTGAAATTTTTTCTTTAATCCTCACCTGAGGATATTTTTTCTACTGCTTTTCAGAGAGAGTGGAAGGAAGAGAGAGAAACATCGATGTAAGAGACACACATTGTTTGGTTGCCTCTCACATGCACCCCCGTCGGGGCCAGGGATCGAACCTGCAATTGAGGTGCGTGTCCTTGGCTGGAATCAAACCCAGGACCCTTTAGCCCATGGGCCAACGCTCCAACCACTGAGCCAAACTGGCTAGGGCCACCTCTGAAATTCTTAACATAAAATATTTTTACAGGATAACAAAAAGCTTAAAGATACTCTTTCAGAGGGCACACTATTCAAAAGGAAGAGACTACAGCAAGCTAAAAAAAATGACAACAAAATGTTTACTTTTCATAGAGAAAAATGGAAATGTATAGAGGAAATAAGGTCAATGTGACCAGGAAGCCTGTGTAAGATATCACTGTATAGATCACATATGGATTAGAGGATGCCAAGTCTTCATTTATTCAGATTCGACAAATGACAACTTCACAAGTAGCACCATTAAAATTTTGAGGCCCTGGCTAGTTTGGCTCAGTGGTTAGGGCCTTTGCACCACAGGGTGGCATGTTCAATTCCCAGTCAAAGGCACGTACCTGGGTTGCAGGATCGATTCCAGCCTGTCAAGGTGAGCGTGGGAGGCAATCAATTGGTGTGTCTCCCTCACACTGATGTTTCTTTCTTTTCTCTCTCTTTCTCTCCCCTCCCAACTCTCTGTAAAAATCAACAGAAAAATATCCTCAGGTGAGGATTAACTAAATAAATAAAACTTTGGGAATGCATCAGCTCTCACCCTCTCATTTAAAGAGGAAAGAACTGAGGCCCACAGAGCTTCAGTGACTTACCTGAAGTCACTCCGCAGAGGTGGGACTCACACCCGTCTTCTCTCACTTCTCCTTTCCTGAAAAGGGTGTAGCTAATAAGTCCTCAGGGGACTAAGTAACTGACAGAAGAGTTCTGAGGAGGAGATAGAAGAAATAAAAAAGCAACCCCTTCTTCCAAGAGCTGGCAATCAAGTTCATTATTAATTATAGTTAACTCATACGATAATAATAATATAGTTACATGCCAATATCATTAGCCAAAATAAATGTCACAGGCAACTGACTTTTGTGATAACCTCTCTCGAGAAAGTTCAAATTCAAAGAAAAGGAGAACTACTTGTCTCAATCCTCTATCCCACTATTAAAATTAACTCTTTAAGGTCATCAAGAATTGTCTTAGCTCCTTAATTCCTCCACGTCTCTGCAGCATAGGACTCTATTAAAGGTCCACCTGGGGGCTGCCACTTTTCTGGAAATTCCCATTACTATGACCCTATTTTCCTATGTCTTAAACATTACCTTCTTTCCTCAGTGACCCTTTTTTTTCCCTTAGCAGTATTTGATCATATTCTACAAATTACCTTAGGCAACACTTGCTAAAACATCATGGGACAACAGAAAGAATACGTCTTAGATAAATGATTCAAGTTATGGTACTACTACTGAGAATGGATAAATTACTTAGCCTATGATTTCAGTTTCTCTAACTATAAAACAGGAGTGTTAACTGAAACTACTCATTTTAAAGGGTTGTTGCAAGGATCAAGTGAGACTCTGTGTGAGTGCTTTATAAACTGTAAAATGCCCTGGGCCAATTCAACTCTAAGCCCTTAGATTTGAAATGGATCTTCAACCCTCAGCCCAAATTCTCTGTATACTGCTTTGGAGTGCTTGTATTCCCCTGAGGCTCAGTTATCACTCTTGGGCATAAAAGAGAAAGGGAAGAAAGAAGTCTTCTGTTCTGAATCTAGGTCCCTCACCTAAGAATTTCCTGTCCTTCCCTCACCGTTCCTTAATCCTGTACAATCCTAAAGATTCTCTCAAGGACCAGTAGTAAAATTATAAATAGTCAAATAAAGGAAAACTTTTCAATTGAATCATCTTTGTTTATATTCAACATCATAACCCAAAGTTTCACATTCAGAAAATGTTTTCTAAATTTCTACTCAAGAGTACTTAGTAGTCCAAAAAAGAAAAAATACATATGCAATTCACACACACACACACACACACACAAGTACTTAGTAGCCATACTCTGAATGACAACATTTAAAATCTGGGGAGAAAAGCTGTTTTTCATAAATAGAGAAAAATTCAACAGAAGATTAAAAAAAATTCCACACTATGTGATCCCAAATCACAGTGGATATAAGTTGCTCATAAATGTTAAGAAAGCACTTTTCAAAAGCTATATTACAAAATACTAGTGTCTTCTGAAATTGTGAGGTACATCACAAGTAATGTTACAAGTTTATGAATGATTTATATCATTCATATAAGAGTGTACACAGACTTGTTCTCAGTATCATTCCCATTCACTTGCTTGCCTATATGACTTTGAGCAAAAGGAATTATGGTGCCTGCTCTCCCAACTCATGTAACTTACAGCCTCTCTCAACATGCTACAGCCTAGGTGACATATCTACACCTAGATGCACAAATGCCATTCACGATGACAGGAAAAATGCTTAGAATCACCTGTGATAAACAAAGCAATGTTACCCCCTAGCCAGTTTGTGTTCAGTGGTTAGAGCGCCTGCCTGGGGACAGAAGGGTCACAGGTTCGATTCCGGACAAGGGCAAGCACGTACCTGGGTTGCAGGCTCAATTCTCGGCCCCAGTCAGGGCATGTGTGAAAGGCAACCAATCAATATGTGTGTGTCTCTCTCTCTCTCCCTTCCCCTTCCAAAAAGGAAACGTGAATAAACACCTCAGATTTCAAGTCTTCAAAATTTCAAAAAAGTCAGTTTCTACATTACCTTTGCTAAGAGTAACAAAGCAATAAAATACATACTGTGTTAAATTAACTTGTTTTTTAAAAAGTATATTGTAAGCTAATACAAGACACTGATCTCTAAGTCTGGGGCATACAGCATGAAAATACTTACTGCATCCCTAACTTGATTTGAAGAACCTTTAGTAGCTGTTATATTTTGAAAGCACTGCACCTGTAACACTTGTCAATGAGTGCAGTCAAGTGAAAACCAGCTTCATGTTGTATTTTTACAAAGCTGAGACTCACACCAGTGTTAAAAAAGGAAATGAAAATTCAATATGAAAATAAGCAACAGGATGGTAACTTTCTCCAAAACAAATGCATTGAAGTTTAAAATGTTATAAGCAAAATATAAACACTACTATACACCTAAAATTATTTTAGTCTAGAAAAATATACACTTAACCAAGAGTTGAATTTAATTTTAAAAGCAACACACATTTATAGTTTTAAAATTCAAACACAGAAAGTTTAAAAAAAAAACAAAAAACCACAAAAGTAAAAGGTACTCTCCTCTCCTCAGAGGCAACTTCTATCAAAAACCTTCATGTAAATTTTCTAGGTATTACAAGTATATATAGGACATATATGTCCTATATATACTTGTTGAATTGCTATTAAAATCACTACATTTCAAATCATTAAAATGTTTTAAATATGACTTATTTTTTAACTAGACTGGTTGCTCTAATTATTCAGAGCTTGGGTTAACTATTTAAAGCCATGGTTCATGACAATATTTACAATGGTGAAAATTGGAAACTATGCATTAATGTGCAAAATTAAATAAATCAGTTTATTCAAAATATCTTATAAAATATAGCCCGTTAAAATCAAGTTTAGAAAGTTTCTAAGGCCACGGTATAAAGCTCATTAAGTTTAATTAAACAAACAAAAAATTAGGATATAAGCCTATGTGGGTATTATATCTCATTTACACCAAAGATGACTTTTTAAAAAATAAAATATCAGAAGGAAATGTGTAGAGATGACTTCTGAATGAATGGATTATGTTTTGTTGTTGTTGGCTTTATATATTATTATCCTTTGCAGCTTTTCAATAACAAACATGTCTTATGTTTAAAAAGGTGGGGAAAGGGCTATTAGAAATGCATAGCTGATTTAAGTTTAAATGGAACAAAACAATTCATGAAAGCTGTGCTACTAGCATATTCTGATAGCTAAAACAAGTATATTTAATACACCTTCCATGATCCCTTAACTCAAAAAGCCTAGTCAACACTGTTATAATATAAAGTACATGAGCTTTGGATCAAGGGAAAATTGGACTTGAATCCCAACAGTACCAGTAGCTTTTACCTTGGGCAACTTACCTAACTACCCAGAATCTGTTTCCTCCAGCATAAATTAGGGATAACAATATCTGACTTGGAGGGTTGATGTGTTAGGCAAACAGAATGTAAAGGAAATCAAGGGACTAGCATATATAGTACATAAATAGTAAATGCCATTATTATGGATATTCAGGCAGGTAATTGTTTTTTAATTTCAGACTCAAATAATTTTCAGCCCTCTTTCTAAATGGCTTTGAAAGTGCCAAACTGTTCTTTACCTAACGGCAGTTTCTACTGATACATGCCCAACTACGGAAAAGCATTCATATGGTTAGTGGGCCAAACGTGAATATGAACGTAAACACATACCAAAGGAGTACCTTTACTTATAAACCTGTAGTGGTAATTTTCTAATAAGTTTCACAATCTTAAAAAATCCTTATATCAACTGCAATGTAACAAACAACAGTTGGGAGTGCTTAATTTTCTGAAAAATCTTTATAACCCATATACTAATCATCCTCCACTATCATCCACTTAAACAATTTAGCGTCTTATTGAGGTTTTTGCTCTAAGTCCTATTAAATTATATGAAAAAAGATTATTACAAAAAATTCTTCTTGGCAATGTACTGTTTTGTACAGATACAGAATAAAGTTGAGATTTTTCTTCATTTATTTATTCCATCAACAAGCCTACTGATTGCCTAATTAGTCCCCTTAACCTCATGGGGCCTCCCAAGTGAATATGTCAGACAGCCAGACAATTAAATATGGAAGGTAAAGTGATGTCTCACATAACTGGCTAAAGAAGCCTAAGGTGAGTTAAGACAGAGCTCTGGTAAAGGTCATATGTGACAAGCGCTTCCACAGATGAACAGTCAGTCAGGCTTAAAGACCAGGAAGGAAAGAAAGAAAACCAGTATTTCTCTGAATTAAGTCTCCCATAAAAATATCAATGCAACAATCAAATTTAACATTTTTTTACTCATTTGGAAAGGGATCTTGCAGTGAGAAATTTATTCAGTTTATGATGATCCAATGGTAGTCCAAATAGTAAAACATGTAAATCAATGGAGAAAATGTAAGAAAAATCCAAGTAACTGTACAAGCAGGCAGAAAGTGTTAGATGGGCTTTTGGTGTGTGGAATGTGAGGTAATACAAAGGAAGGAGAAAATATTCCACATTTACCTTAAGCCTGGCAGACTGATTACTCAATACAACTAAGCAAAAATACCTAGGAGTTTTTGCAGAATGTTTCTTGAGGTCATCTCCCAGATGTACAACTTCAGGCAAAAAGACCAACAAAACAATGGACTTCATTAAAGATAGGACTTGAAATGGCACAGAAAACATTATCTTGCCCTTAAAAAACATGGCCCGACAAAACCAAAGTACTGTGTACAGTTCTAAACACTGCAGTACAGAGACAATAGGGTACAATGATTAAGAAAGCAGGCTTGGGTTCCAATCCAACTTTCTTCCACTTACTATGCCTCAGTTCCTTCCTTTGTACAATGGGAGTCGGAATACCTACATCTGAGTTGCTCTACAGTAAAATGAAAAACGCAGAAGTTTTTAGCTACGTACCTGACATACAGAGTGTTCCTCAAAATAGTGGCTATCATTACTATTATAAAGAAGCAATCTCCCAGAGAAAAGCCATTAAAATATTAAAAGACATTCTCAAACTTTGATGTGCACTAAAATAATCTGAAGCGCTTGTTGAAAATGCAGGTTCCTGGGACCCATTCCTCCCAGGGATTATTTCTATAGATCTGAGGTAGAATGAGGCCCAAACATCAAGAATTATTGAAGAGAAACAAGGCACTGCCTTATCAAAAGGAGCTGAAAACCAGGGTTCTTCCGTAAGAATTGGTCTAAAATAACAGTACATTCAAGAGAAATACAGCCCTGGCTGGTGGGATGCTCAGTTAGAGTGTGGTCCCCTGCACCAGAAGGTCGCAGGCTCAATCCCCAGTAGGGGGCATGCAGGAGGCAGCCAATCGATGTTTCCTCTGTCTCTCTCTCCCCCTTTTCCCTCTCTAAAATCAATAAAACATATTTTTTTTAAAAAAGAGGAATACAGACATATTCACCAAGTCCATACATTCAACCAACATTCATTGAGTACGTACTATGCAGTGAAAAGAAGACAGGTCCCAATTTTCAGAGTTTAATTTCTAGTGTGGGGGACAGAATATTTAAAAAAATAAGGAAATTCCAAATAGTGACAAACAGTATGCTGAAAACAAGAATGGAGAGGTCAACGCAGGGCAATCTCCTTGAAGAGGCAACATGTGAACTAAGACCTGAATTACATCATGGAATCAGCAGCAAGATCTGGGATAAGAGTAGCGAAGCCACAGGGTAGAGCAAGTGCAAATACCCTAAGGCAGGAGCAAGCCCAGCAAGTTCCAGGAACAATGCTAGTGGGGCTGGAACAAAGGAAGAAACGGACGTGGTCAGGCTCGGTCACACTGATCTAGTGACAAAGTAAGGAGTTGGATTTTACTCTGAATGTGATGGGAGGCTTTCAACAAAGGGAAGACACAATCTGATTTACATTTTAAAGGATTTCTTAGGCTGTAATAAGAGGAATGGACCATAAAAAGCCAAAGTGGAAGCAGGGAGACTAGCAGGTTACTGCAGAAGGCCAGATGAGAGATGGTGATAGCTGGGCTGGCAAAGGTGGTGGGAGTAAAGGTGGGAAAAAGTGGGTAAACCTAGTATGTTGAACACTTTAACTTAAGGCAAATCAAAGAAAAAGAATCATCAGATAATCAGTAGTTAGCATCTGGAACTGATTTCACCCAAGAGATACAGAGTGAAAATAGAGATTTAAAGGTTTTAAGTTTATGACCCATGGAAACCCAAATGGGTTATCAGCATATTTAGGATACTTCATAGTATGTACCTATCCTTTGAAGCTGCAGTGAAGAGGGCATTTCCTTCTCTTTTGGCACCACCCATAAAGCACTGAACTAAATGGGCACACATCCAAGATTCAATGTCAATAAAGCATACTTTATGTGATTCATAAAGTAAAATCTTTCAGGACCTTATTGCTACAGGCCTGGACAGCTGGTCAGCATTGGGAGCATACTGAAGCTATGGAATAGAACTAAACCTCTACCTAATCAAATCACTAAATCAGCAAAAACTTTTTAAACTTCTATGTCAACTCAGGCTATTCTGTGACTGTTCTTCCAAGACTTAAGCAAGAAAAGCCTTACTTTGCCATACAACACATTAAGTTCTTAAATCTTACAATATCATCAATATTTGGGAGGAAATCTTTTAAAACCATCATTTAAATCGTTATGGTCTGGCAAACACAGTGAATATTCCTTAAAAGTTAAGATCTGAAAGTCCATATCTGAAAAAGCAGGTTACAGAAAAGCATATGCTTTCTTTGTATACCATATTTGTATAAAATATATAAATATCACCTGGCCAGGTAGCTCAGTTGGTTAGAGTACACCCCAATATGCTAAGGTTGTGGGTTTTGATCCCTGGTCAGGGCACATACAAGAACCAATGAATGCATAAATAAGTGGAACAACAAATAGATGTTTCTCTCTAAAATCAATAAAAATTAAATATACATATATATGTATAAATGCCAAAAAGTCTGAAAGGATATAAACCACAGCTAACGCTGGTGGTCTCCAGATGGCAGAAATATTGATGACTTTTCTTTTGTGTTTATCTGGCTCCATCAACATTCTCCCCAATTATCACAAATTATTTTGTATAAGCAAAAATATTCAGTTATGAGTTAGTTTAAAAAACTAAAAAATAACTCCAATAAAACAACTTCATTTGTCTAACTCAACAGGATTCCAACTGTGGTATTAAGAAAAAAGATTTCAGCCCTGGCCGGTGTGGCTCAGTTGGTTGAGCGTGGGCTGGAGCAACAAAAGGTGATGGGTTCAATTTCCGGTCAGGGCACATGCCCAGGTTTTGGTTTGTTCCCCACCCCAGATCTCGATGTTTCTCTCACATCGATGTTTCTTTCTCTCTCCCTCTCCCTCTCTTTCCCTCTTCTCCCCCTTCCTTTCTACAATCAAAGAAAGAAAGAAAAAAGATTTCAACTGCCCACACAGGAGGAAGAAATTTAAGAGGTCCATGTTATACCACACAACAATGTAGCCTGTAAGGCAGTAGTCTAAATTCATAAGAACTCTTCCTGGATTTGATGAGACCATCAGTTATCACATACTTCTGTTTTTCTTTCTTGCTGTTTACCAAAAAAAAAAAAACCCTCAATTAATGAGTTGGGGGGGGGATATTCCTTTTAAAAATCAAATTAGGACAAAAAGGAGGTTTGGTTTTCAGGTGTCCTTCCTGCCCTCAAGGGGAGTGGAGAGTGGCAGGACTGGCAGCAGGCTACGCTAGAGGAATCTGCGTGCCCAGTCACCTGAAGCGGTAAGGAACACAAGCTTCGTGCCACCTCCACAGAATTGGGCAGCGACGACACCTCCTAAGGATCTCAAGACTAAAACAGCTGAGACAGTAACTGACCTCCAAGTTACTGTAGGCATAGCTGCCAACCATTTCTGACAATAACACACAAAAACTGGAAGGTCTCCAACAAACATATTATTACGTGCGTAGAGCTCATCTCTTGATGCAAATCCAAGATATTAAGGCCACATCTTCGATTATGCAAACTAGGACAACGGAAAACATCCTACTGACTCTCTACGGTTAACAAACATCGTCTGGGCTAAAATCTTAACACGGAAACAGCCACTTTGAAAACTTTGGCTTTCAACGGCAACATGGAACTTCAGGTACTCCTGTAACCAGTTTATCGCATACAATCTGTTCCAATAAAAGGTGCTACTTCTTTACTGTCAGCTCTGGTTCCACTTACTGAACATATAGGAAAAAAGGGAATCCTTTACATCGCAACACAATAAAAAATAAAAAGCTCCCGCTTTCCGGACAGCAGCTTTCCTGTCTCTTCAATCACAACAATGGACGCATCTTAGTGTCTTCCTTAAACCCGGCAAGGGCTGAAGAACAGAAATAAATGATGTAAATTTCAGGATTTGTGGGTTTCTCCTACCAGCTACGTAACGACTCTCTCTTCTCTTTCTCCATTATACGCCTCCACCCAAGTTAACTGCCTTGCCCTAAAAAGAAAACCACCCGGGGCTATCGTCCACTTTCCTGCCAAGCCCCGAGTATGGTTTTCTGCAGCGAAAGCCAAACTGCAGTCTTTCTGTCTCGCTCATCGCCGGGGGACGCGGGGTCGGCGGCAGCGGGGTTCTCCCGGTGCAGAGTCGCCAGCCGGGCCGGGGAACCACGGAGCCCGACCAGCAGTCCGGCTCTGCCGCAGCCACCGCAGCCCGCGAGCGCCTAAGGACCCCCCAGGAAAAACCGCGGTGAGGGGGAGGTGGGACGAAGAGGAGACACTCACCCGCCCAGACTACAACCGACGGGGCGGGGAGGATGGGGCCGGGACCGAGGCTCGGCAGGTAGTCCGCCGGGAGCTTCCGGAACTCCGCGGCCGCAGCTCCTCGCCTCGGGCTTCCTCCCCGCTCTGTTTTGGTGCGCCCGACCACGTCACTATCAGCCACGGGACCCGGATCTGCCCGCTTCCGCGGGCGGCGGCGCAACAGATTGCAGCCGCTCGCGAGCCCAGCGGCCGGCCGGCCGAGCATGCGCGCGCTCCGCGCCTGCCCAGTGCGTCCGGGGAGGCGGGAGGGGCGCGAGCGTCCTGCTGGTGCGGCGCCGAGCGGCGGTTGCAGTTCCGGTTGAGCGAGGGGAGGCCTCGCGGCTGTTAAACTGCCCGGCGGAGCCTGTTTGTCCGAGGTGGACAGTTTCCACCGCTGGGCGCCCGCATGTGCCTAAGCCGACAGCTGGCCTCCACCCGAGTCTTTAGAATAGCGCGGGTAGAGGTGGGCGCCGGCTGATGTCTGCTGAGGCGGAACCACCACAGAGATTGTGTTTTTGATCACTCAGGGCCGGGTGAAAGTGGGAGGATTTTGTCTTATGTACGAAAGTGCGTTGAATGTGGCAGTTATTGATCCCCTTTACCCTAACGTATTTAAACCCAGGAAGCTGGCTAAATTTAAGCTCAAAAGGAGTGTTAAACCGAAGATGTCACGAAAAAGGACTTGCTGGTTGGGAGACGGCGGGGGACGGGAAGAGGAAAGCCGTTGCTGGGCAGCCAGCCTAAGCCTTTGTTACAACTTTGCCTTTGCCTTAGGTGCTGGAGTAGGGATACCGTTTGTGGGGTAAGAATCTCACATCTTTTTAGACCAAGTTGGTGCTTCCTACCCGGGTCTCCTCAGTCTCACTGATAAACGTTTGGGGCCCGGGAAATGTCCCAATTTGGCAAAATTTAGGGCCACTCTATTGTTTTCTTAAGGTCCACGAGTTAACAAACTTTAATTAAAATAGAACCAGTGGTAAGAGTGGGAGTTCCAAACAAAGATTTCACAAAGGTGCTTCTGCCTGCCCTGCAGAAGTGAAAATTAGCTGTCTTCCTTATTCTGACTTGGCAACTTTTTCACCCATCCAGACTTCTACCTCAGCTATTTGGTTAAGCATCTCAACGAGCTGAGTCACCTTCAGAAAATTAGTATAATCTTCAAGGGCTTTTTAATTCAAGTGACTATTGAACACAGGTAAAGGTTTCTAGAAAATTAAAGGTTTCTGGTAAAACTCAAAGTGTTTCCTAGTTAATGAAAACATTAAAAGTACAAGTCAGGCTTTTTGGCCCTTAACCTGCAATCTTGCATGCAAATCCAGAGAGCTTGAGGTGGAATCTGGTGCCCTAATGAAGTTCATGGGCTGACCCTATAGCAGAGGGTCTTTAATCCGTGGAATATAAAGTCTTGTATGCTTGAGAGCACCCACATTCACATATGTATTTCAGAACACAGCTGTGCTTAAGAGAACAGTATGGTACAAAACTGGACTTGTTTGGGTTGTTGCAAAATTATCAGCAGTTGCTTTATAAAGTAAATTACTGGAAAATCAAAACGTTAGGATCCCTGGAGCTCAACTTCTAAGATACCCCCAATGATTCTTGCCTCTAGAAATGTAGTCTCCTCCAGCCCACTGAATCAGGGGCACTCTGATTGACATGTAGAATACACAGCTGAAGGTGTGTGACTTCTGAGACTAGGTCACAAAGGCACTGATTGCTTGCTCTGGGGGAAGATAAATCTCCATGCCACTCCAGATTCAAGCAGCCCTATGAAGAGGCCCATGTGGAGAGGAACAAAAGCCTCCCCAACAGGCAGCCCAGCACCAATTTGCCAGTCATGTGCATGAACTACCTTGATTGGGTTGATCCTGCAACCTCAGTCAAGCATTATATAGACTGCATACCAACACCTGCGTGCAGTCTCATGAGAGGTAGAAAGAGCCACCTCTTCTAATTAAATGAAATAGAGTTTGAAAGGGGTCCAGGTCATTATTATGTCAGAGATTGTTTCACTTTAAGTGAAATAGGATCCAGTTTTTGAGCCCACAGCTAAGAATACATGGTACTAATAACTACCTTCTCCTAACCTGTTGTATGTTTGAAGCATGAGCTTATGGAGTCTATCCCTTGCCCACTGGGCCTGGTGAGAGGTACCAGTTAAGAAAATCAGCACTACCACCATCATTATCCCCTCTCACTATAAGGGGAAGATAGGAGCAGATGAAAGTTACCTTTTTGAGAGAAGGCAGTGTTCAAAATAGGTAGTTACCCTTAGGGGGGATTGCAGTATTCTAAATAGAGAGGATATTCTTATGTTTTGAGGAAGGGTAGAGAATTTTCCCTTTTCGCCAAGACTGGAGGGAGTCACCAAAAGAATCAAAGTAGGGGTCTTGAACCACTGAATTGTTTAGCTGCTTGACTAAGTTGAGAATTGGTGATTGCCTCCAGCCTAAAAATTACCAAGCCATTCACCTGGTGCTGCTAGGGAATAGAAAGAGACATGAGAGGACAGGTGAAGCAGAGAGTGGGAAGTGTCAGCTGCATAGTGGGGCAGTCTGTATCTCTATTGTTTGGAATGGCAAGAAGTTTCCCAAAAGTTAAGCGGTACTACACGGTATGGCAGTGCCTTAGACAACTGCTCCATCACCACACACACATGCACAAATGCACATGCAATGCATACCCATACCAGCTATATGTTATCTCCAGTTCAAGCAGTCAAAAGAAACTCCAGTTAAAAATCTTTAGAGATGCATAGTGATGTATTTATAGATGAAATGATAAGAGTCCTAGGTTTTGCCTCAAATATAGTAGTAGGGGTAGTGGATGTGGCCATGTGATACATTGTTGAAACTAAGTTTTGTTATACTGTTTCCTCTCCTTTTGTATATTAATTAGAAATTTTTAATACCAAAAAAAGTTTTAAAAAACACTTTTGGCCACAAAAAAGTTTTGTTAAAAAAATCAGTTGAACCAATCAGAACTTATAGACTTTATTTGGATCCCTATTTGAAAACCTCAAAAATTATAAGACAGTCAGGAAAGTGAGCACTAACTGGATATTTGATGATATCAAAGAATTGGCTAATTTTTTCTGTATGGTAACACTATTGAGGCTATGTTAAAAACAGAGTTCTTTTTTTTATTTTTATTTTTTTAAAAATATATATATCTTTATTGATTTCAGAGAGAGGAAAGGAGAGGGAGAGAGAGAGATAGAAACATCAATGATGAGGGAGTCATTGATCGAGCCCACAACCCGGACATTTGCCCTGACTGGGAATCGAACCCCAATCGCCTGGATCCCAGGTCGATGCTCAAACGCTGAGCCACTCCCGGCCGGGCTAGAGTTCTTTTAGAGACACAATAAAATATTACAGATGAAATATGTTTGGAATTTGCTTCAAAATAATCAGCGTAGCCCGGCCAATGTGGCTCAGTGGTTGTGTTGCCCTATGAACCTGGCTGGAGGTCAGGGCACATGCCCTGGGTTGCTGGCTTGGTCCCCAGTAGGGGGCATGCAGGAAGCAGCTGATTGATGATTCTCTCTCATCATTGATATTTCTCTCTTTATCCATCTCCCTTCCACTCTCTGAAATCAATAAAAACATTTTAAAATAATAATAATCAGGGACAGGAAAATGGACAGTGGTATAAATGAAAGAAGACAGACCATTATCGATACAGTTTACCCTTGTATTGATAGTTTTGAAACTGGTTCATTATTACTTATTATAGTTTTCTCTTATGTAAAAATTGATCCATAACTTATATTTCCTCAAAAACATATTTATGGTATTTTAAAATTTATTTAACCTTGCTTTTCACTCCTCTATGAAGTTAATCATTCTAATATGCAAGAGTTCAATAATGTCTAAAGGTCAGTAACTGAAGCAGAAGTTTTAAAAGTTCCCAACAGTCTTTCAGAAGGTACATGTTGTAACACTGTGTTTCTGATTCTATACGCTCTATTCTTTCCATGTACCTTTTAAACTTAGATTATCAATAATTAGTGTGCTGGAGCCAGTTCATACTTGATCTTTCCTTACAAGAGTCAATTAATTGTTCCCATCTGTTCCCAACTTCAGGTTCAGTGATGTCACATTGGTAGCTTGAAATTGCCATGGTAGGAATATTTACACTATGGAAATGAACAAATGCTACAAACCAAGAGCTACTCCCCCTACCCCCACCCCTAGACATTTTTTAAAAATTTACCGCAACAACACTGCCAATACTTTCCTTTTTGTCATGTGAAGTATATATTACGCATTCACAATGTCATTCATACAAGGGTGCCCTGCTTGAAGGAAGTTTGATATACTAAAAACTAAATTTTGCCCTGCGCGGTGTGGCTCAGTTGTTTGGAATGTCATCTAGTACACAGAAAGGTAGGTTCCCTATCAGGGCATATACCCAGGTTGTGGGTTCCATCCCCGGGGATGGAGTCACATACAGGAAGCAACCAATAGATGTTTCTCTCTCACATCGATATTTCTCTTTCACATTGATGTTTCTCTCTGTTCCTTCCTTTCTCAAGTCAACAGAGACATATCCTCAGGTGAAGATTTAAAATAAATTAATGAATAAATAATGAAACAAGATATTGTGTCTATTAATTTGAACCTAATGTAAGAATTCCAAAGAGATTGATGGGCCAAAGAGATTAATGGGATAGATGATCCTTTCCCCTACCTCACCATATCAGGGCTAAATGTGCAAATGTTTGTTGCATAGTGAACAAGATAGTCCCATTTTCTCTGCTTATCAAATCTGACCCCTTGTAATTAGAAGTGGACTAAAAGGGAAGTCCAACCATGTTTCATCTTGCTATCAGCCATATGGACCAGCCCAGTGGCTGAACCAGAGGGATCTGCTTCAGGGGAAAAGGCTTGGATTAAAATTAATGATTAATGAAAGAAAGGTGAAACTATTGCTGAGAGGAAAGGAGCCAATAAATGGATTTTACCAAAGGGAAAATCTAGCGATTCTGAGGCTTAGAACAAGAGAATAATATTCTTTTTTATGTCGGATGCAGATGCTTGTTGCAAAGAAGGACCCTGACAAAACCTTTTCCTTTTTTGAAGAGCCAAGGAGTGAGCTGAATGAAATAAAAACTTCCAGAAGTGGTCTACATTCTCA